TCGATTTACAATTAGAGACCCTGCTGATGATATTGGAATTTCAAAAGGATTGGTCACAACACTAAATGGGTCAGCTCGCACTGCATTGATTCTTCGTGACTTTTTTGCAAAAAATGAAACCCATATCGTTTCACAACCCGTATTCACACCGTGCGACTTATGGCTGTTCCCTAAACTCAAAAGACCACTCCGGGGACACCGTTTTGAGTCGATTGAAGAGATTCAACGTGAATCGCCGCCGCTTTGAAGGCCATCCCTGCCGATGACTTTTTAGCATGCATTGAGGATTGGAAAAAAGTTAGCATAAGTGCATTGTCTGTCCGGAGGGGATTACTTTGAAGGCGATGAAATAAATTTGTAAGAATAAATAAAGAGTTTTCGAAAATAAAAAATTGATCTTATTTTTGGGCACAGTAGTATGCTCCAAAAAAAAAGAAAAAGTATTATCGATCGAGTACCATTGATGCAAATGCCTGTTTGCTCAAGAAGGAGAACAACAAGTAAATGCCCATTTGAAAAGGATATGACTTCCCTAACTACAATGATTATTGGCATCGTTTCTTTTTTCATATTTAGCACCTGATTATTCAACAGTTGAGCTTATTGCTCAAAGAGTATCTGTTTCTACAATTGGGGTGTTTTTCAGCGGATGTAATCATGTCGAAAAGTATCTCCTTTAACCATCTCTCACATTTCTTTGGGATTTAAATCAGTAGAGTGCGCTGGCAAGCCTATTCTAGAGATATCTTCACTTTCTATGATCTCATGAAGAGCACGAGTCCCATGAAGTCTGTTGTTATGGTCCCTAAAAACAAAGTCTGCCCCAATGGCCCCTTACAACAGATGCGCGTGAGGGAAGATCACTTGATAACAACAGCGATCTCCGGTAATAGAAACTCCGTCGAAAATATGGAACTCATTTCCCTCGTTCATCATAATGTTTCCATAAATGAGCACATCAGCACAACCGTAACAACGTTTTTCCCTGATGTTAATCAGATAAAAACGTGTCCCTACTTTTGTCCATGTCAATTGATCTTAAGAATGGCTCATGACTGGAAATGACTCTGAACTGCAAAGAAAACGAGACTGCATTGATAAGTATCCAGTCTTCGTATTCTTTACATCAATCTAAATGTTACTGCTGATGAATAGTTGTCAATGGGATGCAATGTTCAGAGCTACGGTAGAATAGCCATCTTTATGAAAAACATCTGGCTACAGCAAAGCGCTGTACTTGTCGTTTCTGGTTACACTTTTCGTACGCAGCTGCTGAACAATGTTGCTAGCTGATTGGTAACATCTCTTTTTTCAAATAGAACGAATATCGGTCATCCATTGACGATTTTTTTTGTCGGTCATTACATTCCTGGTCATTACATCCCATGTTCATTACATTTTTTACATTCCTGGTTAGAAAGTTTTTCCAAGCATGTGAAATGACTCTTTCACAAGTCTACTCTTGTCACGCTACTTCTCTCTTCGAACTTGAAGATCATTCTATTTTTGTAAAAAGTCGTCCAAGTTATTTCTTCTAACCCTATTGAGTATACAAACTCAATTGATTTGCAGATAATGTCTATAATATCATTTTAAGTCTTCTTTTCATTGTGGTCTTCGGCCCGTGCGAACTTCAAGCGTTTCGCATGTCCTCAAGTCATATGTGACGTCTTGTTTTTGATATTTGCATATGAATAGCCTTTCTACTGAATTGGATGTATTGATCACAAAAAGACTTTTTCTACAATTTCATGGCTATCTCCAATGAATTAAACAGTATCCCTTTGTTATATCATGTATTCGGTTATTTAGTGATGGCATTCGGTGCCATATGTTTTGAATACGAGTACCGGCGGTGTCATGGATGTTTGTAGTGGTTTGGAATCCACTTTAAACAGTAAATCTTGGTCATATATACTGTAGAGTGTTGGGCTTTTCGGAATCTGTCAGTGGGCAGTCGGCATAGTCCAACACGGACTGTAGCGCCAGGGAGTTAGTTAGTTTTAGGTTATTTAACGCCATTTTTAGTGGAAAAAAAGTCACATGAACAACATATATTTTGCTTTAATTATTAGTACAAGTAGAAATTTGTGTACAGCAGGAAAAAGAAGTAATCTATTTTCAAATTAAAATTATCTTTTTTGTTTTTCAGTTCCATTTCATAATTTCGAAATACCACTACTAAAAATTTAAGTGTTAATAATAATCTTAGAAAATAATTAGAATCTTGGTGAAACCGTCGGTTTTATCCCTCTGTCACAATTCTTTTTCTCTGTTACCCACTGTAAGCAAACCTGCGAGGGTTACTACATTTTATATTAAACATAAGACAATTTCTGTCTATTTCTTATAAAATATTAACAACTTTCTATTTAAAAATGAAATAATGTCTGCAAAAGTTATATTACTTGGGGAAATGAAAATTAAAAGATAAGAATAGAAAGTTTTAAAGTTTCTAATTTATAATCTTTGAAGTTTATATTTTTAATTTTTGTTAAAGATGTAAAGTTTAATTTTCAATTCGAAATTTATAAAGTTTCTTCTTATGTGCATTTATTTCTGTCTAAATCTATCTGATTTATTTGATGTATCTTAGCCAAGATTATTTTTTTGATTTCACTTTCAGTATGGGGAAATGCATTTTCTTAGCCACTAGATTTAAAACCAAAACTTTGAAGCAACAGAAAGTTTCACCAGCAAATTTCTCAAAGTCAATTACAAATAAATTAATTTAAAATATTTGGAAATAAAACTTAATTTATTGCCCATTCCTTTAATTTGTGGAAAGTCATTTATGCAAACTATAACATTCTATGTTTTATTTTTGTAAATACTTTTATACATTTTAATAAAAGTGTTTCATTTTTTAAATTTATTTAAATTAAACTCCTGTTATGATGAATTAAACAGAAACTTCATGCAACGAAAATGATTTGCAGAAATCCCAGTTTATATGAAATTTCTTAATTGAATTTCGAAAAGTTGACTATACTAGTATTTAATTTAAATTATAATATATTACTATTATTTGCTATTTTGGTTTTTTTAGAAAAATAATTACAAAGTCTAATTGAATTTTTGAATTAATTTATCTGCCGCATCCTATTTTTAATAAGAATTTTTTAAAAAATGGTGATCCTTTTAGCTTCATTTAAGCATGTTTCTAAAGTAAATGGACATTAAAAAAAGTCGTTTCATATAAAAATTTATACTGAATCTTTTAAAAAATTAAATTTGTATTTCTGAATCATAATATGATATTCCTAAAAGAAAAAAATATTTTTAATATAATCCTAACTATGATGTTTTCCAGTCTATCAAATTATTAAACGCCAATCAGTTAAATCAATTAAAACAATATTTTGTAATCTTATTAAAAATTTGAAGAGAAAACTGAATCTGAGTAATAAGATACCCTCAACAAACATTATTTTACAGTTCATTGCAGATTTGAAGATAGATTGTAAAGATGTGCTGTTTCAATTTTATATATATATATATGTATATATATATATTTATAAATACGAGTATACATGGTTTACATTGTTCTAAGAGAAAAACATCAGAAATATTCTCACAAATTTAAAATTATTATGTGCAAACATGTGTTTTTTACTGAGTTTGTAGGAATAATGTAAACCATGGTTTATGTGAAACTTCAAAATACGACAAATCGTTAAACCCATAGAAAAACATGAGTGATTTGACTTCTTATTGAGGAAGTGTTCCAACTTGTTAGGAAGCAAATTACAGTCACTATATTAGAAGAACAAGTTCATTAGACACAACAATATGACAATATTCAATAACTACAGCTAAATTAAACTACACTAATAGAATAACCGTGTTCTTACAAAGTTCTCTCCAGCAGTATGCAATCGTTATTCTTTCTTATTCGACTTATGTTCGCCTGCAAAACTGCATTTATTTTCTAGCGTTTTGACGACGACACCCTCATTAAATTTTTCAAAATTGTACAAAATCACGAGTTCTTCAGGATTTTGTGGAGACTAATGCAGTTTTTACATCTCTTCGGAGCTTTTACGTACTGAAACTCAGATCATCAACTTTTTGACAATGTCGGAGAAGTCATAAAATCCATGCGGTCAGTGATAAAATCTGTAGCATAAATATTTACGATGACTCTACATAAAAGTGATAACAAAGAACTGATTGTATGTTATCCTGTTTTATTCTGAATTTATTGAATATTGGGAACTTTTTTTCAGCAAAAATCACTTTAATGTATTGGGAACTAAGGGATTAAAATATCATGTAAAATCTATTATCTCTAAAACAAATTTTCGTACCTAAATTCGAGCTCTTTCCCATTCAATACTTATTCTCATTCAATACTGTCTACTCTCATTCCGTATTATCATTCAATACAATTTCATTCAATTTGAATCTATATACAAAGGGGGAGAATTTTCATCAGGCAGAACTGATACTTTCAATACATATATTGATAGACTACAAGTATTTTTTAAACCGAATTTTTTGATGCAATATTTATTATGTAGGCGTAATACTTATTATAGGCGTAATACTTATTAATTAGGCGTAATACTCATTACTTACTCGTAATATTCATTCATTAGGCGTAATACTCACTAAGTATTAAAAAAGTATACTAGTATAAGAATAAAAGTATAGTAGTAATAAAATAAAAAAATATCATAAATAAGCGCATCCTAGTAATAATGTTGTTGTTGTTGCTGTGTCGTTGTTTCTTAACCCACTTGGCTGGCCAAGCCCACGAGCCCATATGTACTCATGATTGAAGGGGAAGGAAGCAGCTTCTGTTGTGATGGAGCACCCGTAGGTAGAAGTCTGACTTTGGCTCCGTGACGCTCTTACAGTCATAAGAGACCGGGACCTACGGCTTAAAATGGATTCAGAACCACTACAAACATCCATGGCACCGCCGGGATTCGAACCCGAAACCTGTGGCACCGAGCGCCAGACACGGCCATTCAGGTCCCAAATTTGTGAATGCCAACGGCACGCGGTGTTCCCAGGTGGTCACCCACCCAAGTACTGACCGCGCCCAATGATGCTTAGAACCGGTATATTCAGCATGGTATGGCCGTTGGCCATAAATAATAAATAGTAAAAGTAATAATAAAAGTATACTAGTAGTAACTTACTAGTATTTATTAATAAAAGTCTAATAAATTCAAAGTTGACCACAATGTATATTACTAGTATTTCAGTTGAAATAATAGATGAAGGGTAGGGGTGAAAGAATGTACACGCGAAACTAATAGTATTTTCAGGTGGGGTGATTCAGATATTATAAATTTGTGAATCATTGTTCTAGACAAAAATAGATTATCAATAGTGTGACAATATTCACATTATAACGTTGTCACTCCGTCAAAATTTCATAATAAATATTTATTTAACGAACGATGATGAATGAATGAATAAAATATTTAATTTATCATCAGCGCTCAATGACTATGTATGTGTATTTTATCTATAAAAATATTTATCGCTTTTTAAAAAAATAACTTGCTAAACTGTTATTGATGTAAAAATTAATATGATGTAATTACTACAAAATATTTTTTTTTTTCTTTATTTTAAAATTTTCATCTCTGATTATCATAATGAATTCCAATAAAAAATATGTTAGTCGAGATAAATATTTAAACAGGATTAATTCTATTCTAAATAAAACATTTGTATTGTTATTTTTTAATCATCATTATCATCGTAATAAAAACAAACTAAAAATGTTGAAGTTAAAGCAACAACTTTATAAAAACAATGATATTCAATAATTATAATTTGCGCAACTTTACTTCACATATTTTTTTATAGATATTTTATTCTCATAAAAATAATAAGTAAAAAAAAAAAAAAAAAAAAATCTCTGTACATCTTATAACATAATACAGAATATTTTTAGTCTTAAATCAGTTTCTTTTAAATTTTAAAATTCATCAAAAACTAATCTAACTATAGAAATATTTTTTTACAGAAATCGGGAAATATCAAATGATTTTATGATCAATCAAATGTAAACAATTTATTTCTTTGTTAATTTTAAATAAAATAGTGCAGATGCTGTAGTTTGTTTAAAGAATTCTCAAGTTTATTAAACAAAATATATTGTAGGTGATTAAATAATTTTTTATTTATAGAAAGATTATTTCTGCATATGAAAAATCAATTTCTTTTTAAATTTTAAAATTCATCAAAATCTAATCTAGTTATAATTTTTTTTATAGAAAAGAGAAATAACAAATAATTTTATGAAAAAGCAAATGTAAGAAATTTATTTCTTTACAAGTTTTAAATAAAATAGTACATTTTTTGCATTCTTTTAAAGAATTCTCAAGTTTATTAAACAAAATATATTGTAGATGATTAAATTATTTTTTTATTTAAAGAAATATTATTTCTCCATCTAAAAAATGGGAATTATTTAAAATTAAGCATTAAAATAAAAATATCAAAAGTAAAAACTAAATTTTTAAATCCAATAATTAATAACAGTAACAAAAATATATCATTTTATTATTTTTATTACTAATATTTATTTGTAGAAAATTATTTTTCCATCTGAAAAAGCGGAATTATTTAAAATTAAGTATTAAAACAAAAATATCAAAGTAAAAATTAAATTTCTTTAAAGCAATGATCAATAATAGTAGCGAAAATATATCATTTTATTCATTAAATAAAATGATATATTTTTTTAAGTTCAAACAGTTCAACCATTCGTTTCTACACATAACCCTTGTAAAAAACACCAATAAACAAATATTTTGTACATAAATTATATATATATATATATATATATATATATATATATATATAATATATATATATATATATTGAATGCATTGACAGAATATTTAAATAATTACCATTATAGAAACAATATATCAGCAGTATGTTGATTTATTTACGTTTAAAATTTAAAATATTTTGACAGATATATATAAACTAAACTAAACAAACAAACAAATTACCTTTAGAAGCGACTGCTACGATGTTCGCAACGCTCTCAATCACATGTAGTTCACTTCACAATAAGCAGAGGGGAAATAATTGGATGAAAATGTTACAATAAGGAAAACTTGAAGCTCAATCTCCTCAGTGTTATGAACTTCTTTACTGCAGGGTTCTAGAGTTTTTATTTAGTAATAAAAACCACATAAAAATTAAGCCGAACCCGGCGAGTTGCACGTGATGCGAAAGAATATTTTGTGTGGAATAAAACATCAACCTATGATTCCTGAGGTGAGAAAGCTTGTGGGGAAAAAATAAATAAAAAAGTAAAACTGTCGCTGAGTGGTTGGTGGAAGTCATGTGACCTGTGACGTAGCCTTTCACGGTTCTTTGGCTTGTTTTCTGTTTCCGGCGGGATTTTTTTTTTTTTTTTTTTTCTTTTAGATGTTTAATTTATCTTTTTTTTTTTTTTCATTCGGATTATTTATGCTGCTATATAAATTTAATTAATTTACGACCAAAGAAAACTTTTACAAGTCGGTTACTGAAGAGAATTTTTTATTTTTGTTGTTGTTGTTTAAAATATACAAATATTTTTTAGAACATACCCAGTTTATCAATTTTTGACATGTTTTTGCGATTTATCAGAATTTTTATCCTTCCTTTGTCCTGGAAATAGTACTTCATTGGCGTCAACTGGGCGTCTAGGTACTGCTATAGATATTTTCATATTTAAATATCAAAATGATATTCTACTACTGTCTCCAAAAAGTAAGACCAATTTTCAATTTAAAATTCCCGGGGCTTATGGAATTTCAATTTTTTTTTTTTTTTTTAAGTTGCTGGCACTGCCCTTGACATCTGTGTGAAATTCGATGTCAAAATACTTATTAAGTGTTTTATTTACGCTTGGCTTTGTGAGAGGCTAAAACTGATTCCGGCGATTTTTGAAATGCCTGAATTAATTGAGCAAAGAACTTGCATTCAATTTTGTTTGCAGAAACGTATAGAATGTTGCAGAAGGCATTCAGTGAGCATTCCTATAACGGAAAGAAATGTTTAGAAGTGGTATAAACAGTTCAAACAGTATAAACAATTCAAGAAGAACACGTTGAAGAGGAAGAGCCCTCTGGTCGACCATCAACCTCAACCGACGAAGCTCACGTCCAAAAATTAGATTTGGTGCTTGCAAACTGTCGATTTACAATTAGAGACATTTTTGATGACATAGGAATTGCAAAAGGATCGGTCAATTCCATTTTGGGCCTGAAATGCGTCAAATCACGATTGGTACGGAAAACACTGAATGCGCCAGCTCACACTGCATTTATTCTTCATGACTTTTTCGCCAAAAATTAATCCCATATCGTTCCACAACCACCGTATTCACACCGTGAGACTTCTGGTTATTCCCTAAACTCAAAAGACCACTCCGGTGGCACCGCTTTGAATTGATTGAAGAGATTCAACGTGAATCGCCGCGCGCTTTGAAGGCCATCTCTGCCGATGACTTTTTAGCATGCATTGAGGATTGGGAAAAAGTTGGCTTAAGTGTATTGTGTCCTGAGGGGATTACTTTGAAAGCGATAAAATAAATTTGGAAGAATAAATAAAGAGCTTTTGAAAAAAAAATAAATAATTGGTCTTACTTTTTGGGCACAGTATTAGATATTTTCATATTTAAATATCAAAAGGACATTCTAATTCTTCGATAACGAAATGAAAAAAATTTCTGATTTTATATGAAATTCTTGATAACATGTATTGTTTGGAGACTTCAAACTCCTTTGAAACATGATTATTTCTTTGAATTAGAAATGTCTTTTGTTTTCTCTTAACTGCGGTGCTTTTGTGATCTTTTACAGACTATATTTATTATCCAGAATGCCTTTTATCTAATTTATTTCTTTTTGTCTCTCTCCTATTCAATAATGGAGGAAATAATTATCTTATCTCTTTCGAAAAGAAAATTTTGTTCTTTTCTTTTTTTTATTTATTAATTAAACGCACTATTAGCTCTTCTACAATATATTAATTCAAATTAAACGTGTCTCACAAAAAAAAAAACAAAAAAAGGATTTTTAAAAGGAAGAAAGAAATAATTATAAAAAAAAATTTTATAATAGGGCTTTTTAAACTTATTTGTTCTGATTTACATCAGTAAAATGCTGCAAACCTCATTTTAAGGGGGAAAAAACTATTTAAGAATATTAAATGTTTTTAAATGAAAATGAAATGAAAATTATTCAGTGATATTAAAAAATTGCATTAGTTTTTATTAATCCCATTTTTAATCCCATTTATTAGATTTTATTATTCCCCATCCCCACGGGGCCTGATGCCGAGTGACTAGCGCTGTGGCGCTCCGTGCCACAGGCTTTCAGGTTCGAGTTCCGGATGTGCCGTGGATGTTTGTAGTGGTTCAGAATCCACTTTAAACCGTAGGTCCCGGTCTTATAAGACTGTAGAGCTTTGGGTGTAAGACTGACAACCCTACTCCATAAAAACAAAACGTCTCCTGCCACGAAATCTGTCTAATAGGTAGACAGCTTTGTCACACCTTGGGGCTGTTAAGCCACTGATGATGATGATTCTTATCTATAAAAAGTTATATGAATAAGGTTTTGATGTTAATGTAAGTGGAAATTAACTTGAATCAGATCAAAATAATATTAATTTATAATATTATTAATTAAATATATCTTTTAGTTTCATAAAATTTTTTTTTATAATTTGAAATTAATAGTGATAAAGATGTGACCAACATTAAAACCTAGATAAAATCTCTGGCTGTATCACACTTTTTTTTTATACTTTGAAATGCACTAAAAACGGGGAAATATTAAAATATGCTGGTATAATATGTCTTCTTCTACTTCACTGGCGCAACAGCACCATGATGGAGCAAACGCACCGTCTGCCTATTTGCAGATTTCGAAACATGATATGCTTTTTCATTTTACAGAGGTAGGGTTGTTGGCCCTATTCCCAACTTTCTACATATTAGAACCAGGATAGGGACCTAGGGTTTAAAATGGATTCCGAACCATTATAAACATCCTGCCGTACTGGGACTCGAATTCAAAACCTATGACACCAAGCGCCAACACTAAATAACCGAATGCATG